GTGGTGGTGTGGCGCGCGGGGGTTCAAAGCCTCGCTCTTGCGGCTTTCCAGATGAAAGTGGACTGCTGCTACTGCTCTCCGAATGGCGCACCGGGCACTGATAGCTCGATACACAGCAAAAAACAAACAAACGGAAATAACTCTATGGCAGCCAGTCGGACGTGTATAACAAGCGGGGTGTTTTGACCAGGATTAACGGCCCCGTGAGGTGCAGTAAACTATCCGGCGTGAATTATAGGCGTTATTATAGAGGCTCAGAGTGAGAAGAATGAAGAGCACGGCAGCGAAGCAGAGGAGCACAGCACACTGTGAGAAACAAAACCTAAAGCCTGTCACGTAAAAATCATTGTCTCCCTTCGAAAGTACAGTTTTTGAAACCATATGTTACGAGCACGTCTAGTACGGTCATGGTATTGTCGTCATCGTAACAAGAAATTTTTACAGTGCGGCTGGACGGAATGTCACATATAATTCCAGTGTCTGTAATCCTAATTGCGAATTGCATTCTACAGTGATAACTTTCTATTTTACATTGTTTTTGAACAGTACTTTTTGTTACAGTGCAACACGCGGCCGCACCTGACCTGGGGCCGAACCACGGCAGCGGTGTAATAGAGACCAGTTCAGCCAGAAAAAAATTATATCATCCATTTAAAAAAAAAAACTGAATCGCATTTTTTAAGCAACACTTTATCTTTACAGCTCGGTCACATGCACCTGCACCACCAAAGCGCAGGCTGCGCCGTGCTCCCGCATCGGAACGCAGCAAGCGCCCAAACCAGAGCCGTCCCGCCCCGCCGCAGGGCTGCAGCATGCAGGAGTCGACCGTTACGTTCGATTCAGTGGAGGTGTGCCCATGAGTGTTTAATAGTGTGCGAGTGTTCCACTTGACGCAATGGAGCTCCGCCAAGCGGTTGGCCGCGCGTACACCCGCCCCAGACATGTCAAAGATGGCCATCGAGCAGACGAGGACATCTGTCCGAAAGAGGCAGGAAAAAAAACCCATCGATGTTGAAAAAAGTCGTACATGGTTTATCTCTATATGACGTCGGCGGGAAAACTGCTGTCGTTAAATTACTCTATTTCATTCATGTACTGTATTACACCGAATGACCGAAACGAAGTGTAGCGGACTCGCCTAACGACTGCAACACTAGCGCAGGCTGGACATCTCGTAACGACAAAAAGAAAGGAGATAATACCACCGAAAGCGGAAGCAATCACGACAGCAGACGAGTGACCGGAAGTGGGCTGATGTGCCAGGGAGAGGGGCGCAGGGGCAACACGTGCAAGGGGCACGTGCGCGGGCAAGAAAGGCATTTAGGCCCCATTTTCGCTAGTCGGTCTCGGTCGCATATCGGGACGCGCGCGGGGTACTATGGGGAAACCCCGGCGCTTTCACTCGAAACTGATTGAATAAATTACTCTATATATGCCACTCGTAATTTTCTGAACGAGCGCGGGCTTCGCGTTTGGGTCCACGACTTGCACTGCACGTAGCACACGTGCAGTGAGCGACCGAGCGGTGCATCACGGTGCATCCTCCGAGGGGGCGGCGGGCGGG